ATTGACCGTCCTCTAGACTAGCCTCCGTCATAGGAATGTGGAATTTCCATAGTCAGAGCGATTCACGAGGTTTTTGTGCCGAACATTTGCCACAGATTTTGGCGCCATCGTGACGAGGTCATCAACTCGACCGCCTTCGGAGCCATTCGCTCAGGGGGTGACGACGATGAGATCCGAATCTCTCGTCTATCACGAAGAGCTGACGTCGTTCACCTAGTTGCGCAACGTATCATTTAAATACACTGCCACCACCACCCTTAGCCATGATCTATCCACGGCTGGATGAAGGCTTCCGTCACGTGCTGCTACCGCCCGCGTTCCTCCCCCCCCCCCCCCCCTGCGGCTGCCACTCCGTGACGGGTCTCGTCTATCGGCCATAATCCCGCACGACGAGGGATTCGTCCTTGTCTCTCTCTCTCTCTCATCATCGTCAACATCGGTGGCCGACCTTCCGTTCGCCGCTGCCGCTTTCGTGATCGCGGCAGTTTCAACAATCAGTGCAAGATTCTTAAATCACCCCCCCCCCCCCCCCCCAAGGATCTGTCCACCGTGCACGCTACGTGGGCAGACACCGCAGTCCATCACAAAGTCCGTGCGGTGGGCTAAAGCGTGGACTCTGAAGCTCTCCAGAGCTCCCTCGAGCGCAGGGCCCTTCCACCAGCGAGACATTGCAGGGCTGCGCCTTTGCCTTCGCCGCGACTGCCCACAGCGGCGGCGCGGGGCGATGCCTCAAACTCGGCGCTTCGTTCACAGCGAATTATCTCGTTTTCTTCCGGGAAATAATTCGCCACCGCTTCCCCGAGGGCATTCCGAGTGCCCCCCACGGCGATGGCAAAGTCCCAGTGGGTGGGGGGAGGGGGGGGAGTCTCCGGGGAAAGGGAGGGGGAAAAAAGGCGAATCAGGAGCTGCTGGTAATGGACGAGCGCGGTTTAGTAGCCCAGTGATGGCGTTACTGCCCGATTGGGAGCGAGGAGCCTCGTTGGGAATTATCCATTACCGTGGTCACGGCACGCCGAGGCCTCTCGGGGGTAATGTAACGACACATTACCCCCCCCCCCAGTCCCTGCGCGAGACCCCTCTCGTACCCCCACGGCTCGAGGCGAGCTCCGCTCCCCACGCCCCAACCCGGCGAGGAGAATTCCACTGCAAGAGGCCGCGCGGCCACACAGGTGGCGGACTGCGACGACGATGTTCACCGCGGCGACAGAACCACCCACGTTCCATTAACGCACTTTACCCACGTGTGTCTCAGCATCATCATCATCGTCGTCGTCATCGTTAACAAGCGCCGGGCCCCTGACGGACGCTCTTCGCGTGCAGAGCCTCGCGGTTCACGTGCCCAGTGCGGGGGTCGTCAAGCCACGAGGTGGCTCCAGGTGAGGGAGTCGTCAAAACGACACCCACCATCACGGGCAGCCCTCCTTCTGGTCGTGGCCAGCAGACCTCGACACTGGCAGCGAGCTCCTGAACCACGCCGCCGCCGCCGCCGCCGTTGCCATCACACGCGACTGTAGAATACCCGAGCCGTGCGATATTCGCCACGAAGTGGCGGTGACGTCACGACGGCCCTTGTGCCAGGCTAGGTGCACTATTCACTCCCGACCCTACCCCCACACACACCCTAGTGATTCGATCGCCACGATTTAAGCCTGCGATGAGATTAAATAATTTACTATTCTTAATACAGCGGTGCGTAATAGTGCATCTAGTATTGAGTGCATTTAATTTGTCGTACGGATGATCACGTTTAGCCAGTTTCCCGGCTATTTTACAAAGGAGGCCCCGTGGTGCGTGGGTTTAGCAAAGGTAAAAAGACAGACACCTCAACATTGCAGAGAACGAGTGACAGAGTCATTACGGAATATTGGACAACGAACAAACGAGGTATTTTGACTGTTGTAAACGAGACGCGCGTGAATACAAACACAGGGACAATATACATGACAGCAAGAGGCGTGTGAGAAGGTTCGGTGCGTGGGAAAGTGTCCGAATCCATGATATCCCACACACGCGATTCAATGCGCATATCGTCAATCGAACAGTTGTTGATGATCGACTAATCGAGATTGTGTGAACGGCCGTTGGTAGCCATGAAGCCCGCCTACCTGGAAGGAGTCATCATGATGAGAGGACTCAGCACGAAGCTACCAATGTCAAGCATTGCCCCGCCCCCCCCACCAACTCCCTCTAACAGAGGTAGTCATGGACAGCGACAGCGTTAGGGTTAGAGATGAAGATGGGGTGAGAGATGGGGTTAGAGTTAGGGTTAGTGTTAGAGATAGGGTTGGCGGGAGAGAGCAAGGCAAGCACCAGTTAGTGCTAGAGCTAGTATCAGGGCTCGAGTGGGTGCTAGGGTTTGGCGTTAAGTATTCGTTCTCGGGATAGTGTTCGTGTCAGGCTTTAGGGAATTACTCCTCGCGAGAGAGAGTTCGTGTTCAGGCGAGCGCGAGCGGTAGCGTTCGGGAGAGAGTCGCGGACAGGATTCGGGCTCTGGACTCCTCCAATTGCGCGTCCACGTGGAGCCCCCCCAGTTGCGGAGAGGCGCTGGGTGATGTGGCCGCGTCCCCATTCCACAGTCCCCCCCCTCCCCGCTCCCTCCTGCTACGGACAGAACCGATGAGCTCACGGGCCCGCGAGCTAACACGACCCTTGCGGTCTCGTGATCCCATGGGCACTCTGGCCTCGTGGCCCCGCCGGCCGGGCGGGGAGGGCGCTGGGCGGTGGGGGGGCGCCGAGTGTGGAGGGTCCGTGCGGTATTCCGCGCCCTGCCTCGACACGAATTCCTGGCGCTCCGTTTAAAAGCCTCGAGATCTCAGGGTCAAGTCTGATGCCAACACAGCAGCCCCAGCGGCAGCAGAAGCCGGGGAAATAGCAGCTGGAGCCGAAACAGCAGTCGCCACAGTAGCGGCATCAGCAGGAGCAGCCCTAAAAGTAACCACAACTGCATCCGCAATAGCTGCAGATCCATCAGTGGCAACAGCAGGAACCCCGACAGAAATAACAGCTGCTGCTGATTTGCAGCCAAATCAGCAGCAATCACAGCAGTAACAACAGCAGCCACAGCCATGCGAGAAGGCAGATCAAGCAGTCAGAAATTCCTCCATATCAGCATCAGCCCTATCAGTAGCCACGGGAACGTCAACATTTGCCACAGCAGCCCCCTCAACAGTAACATCAGCTTCAACACCAACCTCAACATCAGCCTCAGCAGCAGCAAACAGTAGTTGTAATAGCAGCCTCAATAATATTAGTGACAGTAGGCCAAATAGCAGCTACATTAGCCTCAACAGCAAAAGATCCAAGGCACTGAGAATTCCTGCAAGGGTTGGAGGTGGTGGGTGGGTGGCAGGGCCAACCTCTTCCCTTACCCCCCCCCCCCGCCGGATCCCGTACTCAGCTCTGGGACAGCTCCCGCAGTAATTAAGCCCTGGGTGGTGCAAAGGGTCAGGCATAGGGCTGGGGTGGGGGGAGGGATGGTGAATGTGTTGAGCAGGACTAGTGATGCGGTTCGGGCAAACACACCTTGTTAAAAGTAAAAATGTAATCTTAGTTGTGTTGGAATCGCGATCAAAGCACTCTGTGGCTATTTTCAACTGACACAAAAAAATTGCAGTTCCAGTTTTTTTAATTAGACCCCCCCCCCCACACACAACTGCCACCCCCAAACCCCCTTCACCCCCCCCCCTCCTAAAGAGCCCCAGCCACCCCCAAAACTTGGTGTAAATAAATGGACACGTGGAGGGAGCAGCAGGGGTCGGATGGACACGGGGATGGGGGTGGCACGCGCGGACTAACGAGATCTGCACCAAGCCAAGGGTCAACCACCACCCACTACAACAACCACCACAACCACGAGGGTCAACATGCACCACGGCCACACGTGCCCGCGCCACGTGTTACGTAACAGCATGCGAAGTGCAGTGGTCGGGGTTTTTCGACGCAGCTTCGTGACTTCACATGTGGACTGCTATGTTACCCGGTAGGGATGCAGCCGTGGTGTAATGGTTATCACACTGCACCTGTAATAATCCCGGAGTGGCAAGTGATACAATGGGCGCGTTCTTGAAATCACCCCCACTTCTGTCCGTCTGCCCAGCAGCATAAAGCGGTACACCACGGTTGATCGGATGGCGCGTGTGGTGGGGGTAAACTGTGAGTACATCACCGCTCTTACAAAACGTCTGGCCAGCGTGTAGGTCGATACTCTGTGGAGGGGCTCTCCAGAGCTCCTTCTCGCGGAGCCCCTTCCGTCAGCAGTAATGTGCGCACGCAATTGCAGGGCTGCACTTTGACATACATTACACCACAGATGGGTGTACAACAGCTGACAATAACAACAATAATAATACCAACACCTCCACCACCACCACCACCGCATTTATCCAGGAAATCCTCAGAGTTGTGTGGATCTTTGTCAAGAGGGCCCTGCACTGAGATATTTGGCCGGTTCCTTTTTGAAACAATGCGCGTCGCGTTTCACGTGAGGGGCAAACACACGGTTTCATGAACCCAATCGCTGTGCTGGCTGCCATCTCCCGGCCACTTGTCAGCCCCAAGTGGGTATTAGCGTGTCTTAAAATCTCTTCTCCTTGATCCAGGCGTGCACCACCACCATCGCCACCACGACCGCTACCACCACCGGCTCAACTCAGGTGCCCCTTGCGAGTAAACAGCGCGGCCGTCAGACGTCCGCGCGCTCCGAGCGACACTCGTGTGCGAGAATTTCAGCTCCAACTCGACGTCACATTCGCAACAAAGTAAACTCAAAGTAGTTCCCCGATCAGTCACGCCATCGTGGAACGGTGCTCCATCTCCCGTTCTACAGCCCTGAACCGGCGGCGGAAATGTCCACATTCTCACGGCGAGAGCCAGTTAATGCCACCCACAGGATTAGCCACTTGTTGAGTGTACGCTCTGACGGTACACGCACGCACGCGCGTCGCATGCTGCCCACGTGTTGTGCGCGGAGTTGGTGATCGTGAGTGTGCGTGTGGCCTCACCTGGCCCAGGTTGATGTAGCCGTATTTGCTGGCGATGCGGTCCGCCTCGGTCGTCCCCCCCGTCACCTTGACGGCCCAGTGGTTCGTGAAGACGGCGGCCAGCGAGGGCCGCGCGGCGTGACTCAGGAGCAGCCCCAGAGCGCACAGCCAGAGCCACGCGGACGGCCGAGGTGAGGCCGGCATGGTGCGCGAAGGGGGGGGGGGGGTCACGAGTGAGCGAGCTCGATTAAACACTTGGCCCCTCGGACCTCCTTTCGCCCTCCTCTCTCCCTATCTCAACAGCAAATACTTTTCTCGCTTCACTCCTTCCCCCTCTTCGCTCGTTCTTCGCAGACTCTTCTCGCCTCGTCCGTCTCCGCGAGGCAGGAATCCTCGTTCACTCTGCGGCAGTTCTGCGAAGGGGACCCCGAATGCCTCCGTCCCAGCCCGGCTCACAAGATCCGCATGATCGGCGCGGCGGCGGCGGCTCCAGGAATCACCGTGGGCTGGTTCTGGCTCAGCTCGCTCCCCTCTCACGCCGCGTTCCCGGGTTGTTCACGATGCCCCTCCCCCCGTTGTTCACGATGCCCCTCCCCCCGTTCCCTTCGTGTCCCTGGTCCTCGCTGCTCACCTCGGGGCGCAGGAGACGGAGAGAGAGAGAGTGCAGGGGATGCGCGATGCTTCCCGTGGCTGCGGCTGCTGCTCGAGCGGAGAGGAGGAGGAGGAGCAGGAGGAGGAGTTGAAGAGAAACACGGGGCACCTCCCCCACAACCACCACCACCACAACCCGCACCCCCACCGACACCCGCTCCTGGGGTCCAAGGGGCACCATATGCAATACATCATGGTCAGGTCTTTAAAAAAAGCGCGTTACATGCACGCGCCTTTGGCACACGTGTACACCCAGTGGCGTGTGTGTGCGCGAGTGTGCGAGAGAATGTGTGTGAATGTGTGTACAGCATGGGTATGAATGCGTTTGCGGGTCGCATTGTGCGCGTGTGCGTGCGCATTTAAATGCGCAAATTGCTTATTCATGTGTGCGTGTGAGCGCGCGGCCAAACACACACACAGAACGCCCGTGTAGCCGCACACACTGGCGGTGCTGCGACTGTTGTCAGCGAGCATCTATTAAGACCGACGCTGCTCACCATGGAGTAGTTTAGTGGTGGTAGTGGGGCTAATAACCACACCAGTCCGCCTTTGTCTCCCTAATGCTGACGGTCACACACCGAAGCAGGTACGTGCCGATGTAAGGCTGAGCCGACACGGAGGAGGCCAGGGAGAAATAATCATCAAGTTCCACCGATGTTAGCCATGACCGAGAATCGAACCCAGGCCGGCCGGGTTCGACGTGTCACGCGCGAACCAACCTGCCACCCCCCACCTCCTCAACTTACACACTTGCACACAGAAGCGTGCACACGCGGTGGTGAAGGCACCACCAGCACGCACTTTGCCGCCTTTTAGTTGCGACGGCTCTCAAAACGTGGCCAGTGACAAAGATTGCTCCGACCATGAATCTGGGATCAGGATTCCGGGGCTCTCTACCCCCTCCCCATCTCCACCCCCCCCCCCCCGTCTCCTCCCCCTCCCCGGGCCCCATTGTTAAAACTGCAGACGGGGCAGCGAGCGTCAATTCAGTTCGCGAACTGCCCCCCCACGCCCGAGCGGGTGGCGAGCTGGGGAGGGGGTGGGGGTGCTCGCAGTCTCGTCGGTGATGCGCCCCCGTGTGGCGGGGTATCCCCAACACCCACCTGGACCTGCTCATCGTCCTTTCCGGCCCCCCATCCACACGCGAACCGCTCAGAGGTCAGATGACGGATCGCACCGTTTGCCTATCGATCCGTAGAACCGTTAGATTCACGGCCGCCATCAGCACGTGGGGTCCAGTCACCCTCCTTCCGCCAGGTGTGTGTATGTTGCACTTCTTTCGCACCGTACGTAGCCAACCGTGCTAATCGGAGGTGCGGTGTTCCGCGTCACCCTGTAGTTGATATCGCCGAGGAACGCCGCGCCGAGTCTCGCGGCTCTATTTCATTCGGCGAGGTCCTGCTGCAACCTGCGATGCTCGGCCGATCTCCAGACAACGAGCGTTTGACTCCACGTCGAGTGAATGCGGAGCACCTGGAGAACCCCCACGGTGCGCATGAGAAGGGGGGGGGGCGCTCACAGCTCCGCCGCGAGACGCATGCGCGGGCTCGCACGCATCACGCATGGCTGTGCGCAGGCGTGCGGATTCATCCACAGAACTCGATACATCGCGGATCTACAGCAGCGGTGGCACCCGCTGCATGCGTGGCTGATCCGGAGGCTCCGGATTTGCAGGCGACCCCAGTTTGAAGCGGCTTGGTTTATCTTCGTGGCAGGTAGAACGATCTCCCGCAGCGGGGTTCCCAACCCACGGCCCATCAACCCATGTATCCTAATTAATGAGTAATTATCGCAATTAGCTAACGATCAAAAGAAAGCACGTGGGGTCCCTACACCACACCCACGCCTGCGAACTCATTAACCCGGCCCACTGATTGCACGCGGGGCGTTGTGCAGCAGTCAGCAATGACCCACGCACGTGCGAGCACGCACGGCTCATCCCGCCGACGACTCCACAGCTGTTACCGTGCAGCCCCTACGCCCGGACTACGCGTCCCAGGATGTCAGAAATGAGTGTCAAGCTTCGCGACTGCAATAAAACTCTTTAACGTTAGCGGAGAGCCGTCCCTTCGGCACTCCCAAGGACGTCTTTGATACGCCTTAGAAGAATGTGAACACAGGAAAGTGACTGGAAGCTGTTACGTCTTTTTTAATTATTCTTTCAATTAACCCGTTGAGAACTCGGGTGGGACAGCGCACGGCACGCAGCCTGCGCGTGGGTACAATGTGTCGCGCGGTTTGGGTCTTTGGGCCGCACTTTCCTAAACGCGAGCTGCGCATCGAGTTCCACATTCCTATGGGCGGTGGATAAAATCGGGTACTCATTTGTCGCCAGCCAGCTACGGCTCGGCAGCTTACCGCAGAGCTTACCGATCAGCCGCCACGTGTGCGCGGCGTGTCTGTGGGCGCATTTCCCTTTGAATTAAGCCATTAACACTCAATCACGGCGTTTATCTTGTGAGCAGGTGCGGTCTCTCGTCAGCAGCGGGGGGGGGGGGATCTGTGCGCCAAAGGACCCCCCGCAGCTGAGCACGTGGAACCAAAAATTAACTGACCGACGTCGTGTTTTTGTTCGGAAGAGGAGCGGTGGGGCAGTTGTTAGCGCACGGCGCTACGAACATGCCCTTCCCAGGAAACCAGAATGACCGGAGAGACCCCACGAATAGGAAGAACGCCCTGGCACATGGCCAAACCTACTTGGTGCACTGCCTCGTACACGAAGAACCTCTTGAGCGACAGATAGAAGGTGTCCCACTCACAGCGACACCAGAGCACAGTGCCCACGGTAGACATTGGCACCGTCCCCAGTAATAAAACAAGGGTGGGGCAGTTTGACACATTTATCGAAAGGGCCAATACAAGGGAATTCGTATATCGTTGCGTTTGAAATGGTTATCACATCCAAATACCATCCATGCTCACACCCTTTCTCAAGTCTGCCACACCAGGTGGTACCAACAAGTGCGACATCTGGTTTATAACGCCGGGAGGACGAAACAATCGACATCACGACCAGTCCACAAAGGGCAATTAACACGCAATCACAATTACGAATGTTTTTTATTCAGAATCGAAAGGCGCGCGGGGTGGGTGGCCTTGGGTAACAGCCAAAGTGGGAGTAACACAGACACCAAGATGAACACAGTGATCAGTCAACTCGCAAGACGTTGGGGGGGGGGGTTGGAGTGGTGCGGAGGGGGTGATGACTGCACCCCCCCTCCCCGCTCTAGTACCACTACGTGACAAAAGGCCAGCCAACCGGAGGTGGGGCACGAGGAGCAAGCAGGTGTATCACCTGCAGCACGCACAGTGAATGTCAGCGGTGTGCGCAGGTGGGAGGAGAGCGCCACAATGGATCCAACATCCATACAGCGGTCGAATTACCGGCGACGGAAAGTCTGCGCCTACTGCAAACTGCCGCTCGTTTAAAAGCTCCACCCGTGGCAATAATTACAAGCGCCACTTTGTCACAGGGCACTTTGCAGCGAGGGCAGAATTCTGTAGCAACGATTACATAAACACCGGCGGTGTGTGGCAAGCGGCAAGGGAGGCCCCCCCGGTTTGCGTGCAATTTGACTTCACCGAACATTCATCGTCGTCGTCAACAACGCTCACCACCAACGTGTTAGGCAATCGGTGGCCGTGCTGGGAATTGACGCACAGCACGGCTGATTGTCGCCGCAGTAAATATCACGAGCCATCTCCACGGCACGTGGTTACCACAGGGAAGGCAGAGGTGAGCTGAGCAGTGCAGCCATAGACCATTTCTTAACACGAATGTAGAAAAGTTACCCGAGCAGGAGCGAGGGGGTGCATTAATCGCACGCTCGGCACGGACGTGAACGTACAGCAGACGCCACAGATCACACACTCGCAGGACACGCACACAAACCTCACTCATGACAGACAAAGTGTGTGCACAGCATACAGACACGTACACACGGGAGACATGGATCACTCCCACACACGTGGACTTCTACCGAAAGAACCAAAGAGTACGCAAGACCACTTTGGTAATAATCTGCATAAGGGGTATAAACACTGACCTTCCAGTTTCTGAACCAGTTCTTCTCAATATAACGAGAGTTTAAAGATTTTAGAATTATTTCAGAAGTTAGAAGCGATGAAAGTGAAATAAAAAGCAGGGAGAAGCACGTGGGGGCTGGATTAAGCATCAGGGGGCAGTGTTAGGGTTCTGGGTTGAGCTCTGACTGGCTAGCACGGTTAGGGATGGGGCTAGAGTTTCGGGTCTGGTTGGCCAGTGTGTAACACCTCGTAACCGTGTGCCATCCCAAAGCCAAACGTGACATTTTCCAACTTGTGTTAAATTTCAATTATTTATGAACCGCGATTTGCTTGCAGGGTGGTGAATGTTCCTTTAAATGTGAATTTTGGTGAAATGGGGGAAATCGCAAATGTGTATATTTTTAGTCGTCTCATCACGGTGAATTTAGTCCTACAGTGCTGCTCTGCCACCGTATAATTTCGCCAATCGGGGCTCTAGCAGATTACGACACCTTTGACCCTTCCCTTGGTCACGGATGCATAATAGCGTTGGGGGCACGGGGGATGCCGGATGGCCGTGGCAGCTGAGCTCGTGGGAGGTGGGACGCGCCGCGAGCCTCCCTCTACAATAACACTGCTCCCAAACCCCCAATGAGTGGCAGGGCCGAGAGGGTTCAAGCGTTGCGCGTCGCCGCTCCTCCCCGCTGTGTTTCCAGTGGACAAAACATTCAAGTTTCAGACGGGGTGTCTGCGGGCACGCGATATCGCGGCCCACGTGGGAGCCAGAGCGATCCGGATCCGGATGGACTGACCCCTCTTTCCCATAAGCAATCAGCCCCCCTCCCGTGTCTCCCGGAATGTTAATACCTAAAGAAAATCATTTAAATCCAGAGTAAATATACAGTATTGTATAAAATTAATTAAAAAAAAGTTAGCAATTTGCTGGGGAATGGAAGATGCACAGGTGGCGGCCACCGGCGGGGGGCAAGGGGAGCGTGCGTGCTCGCGAGGGCACGGCCGGCACGTGCGCTCAATCCGAGTCTTCGTCATCCAAGTAGTCGTCGTCTTGGCTGATCGTGCGCCCGGTGGTCACAGCTGCTCGCGCACACAGACGGGCGTTCGATACACACAAAAGCACACCGCAGTCATTCCTGAGAGATGCGAGCCGACGATCATGCAGCGAGTCGGAAAGCCCGCGTCACGTTTGTGTTCCCAAAGCGACGTTGTGCTCGTCAGCTGTGGTCTCCTCTAACAACTGACAGTGGTGCACAAGCACATGTAACAAAATCCTTGACACACGTGTCAATAACGCCGCGTGGCCTTAAAAGGAAATGTATATGACAGGTGACGTTCTTCACGGGCACCAACGTGAACAGGGAAATGCTCCTCTGTGCTTGTTTCAAGCAGTGAGCACAAGCGACAAAGACCAAGCCACTGCACGTTATTTCATGACCGTTAATTTTCCCCAACTAAAGTGTCCATCAATTGTCGCTGGACATTGGTGAGAATGAGAGGCAAAGGCTTTGGGCACACAGGTGAAGGAACTACCAATGGAGGCCGAGAGTAAACAACGAGAGATTCATTTTCCACAACGTGCGGTGCATCGATTGTGGATAGCAAATGCAGATTCTACAATTGTTTACTTTATAACCATGCTAGGGTCCAGAGAAACAAAAGTGTGTGAAGAGCCGCAAGGGATTCAAGGAGAAGTTGTATGCTGCTGTGGAAACACCTGTCAGCAAAGGGGGGGTACGGACATTTTGTAAGTTTATTGTACTGTGCTATGCTCTAATTCTAATATGCCCTCCTTCGCGGACCCCTGACCGACCAGCGTGGTGAGGTACTGTCAAGCAAACCCACTCGGGGTCTTGAGGACCTCATTCAGCAGCGGACAGACAAGAGGGCCGGAACATATACACGTGTACACGTGTGTTCCCCTCGAAATTTGCCGGCGCGGGGGCTCGTGTGATGGCGGCGCGTGTTCAGTGGACGCGTGGCGTGCGGCAGCCGTACTGGAACGCCGCTTTGAGCAGCGATGCACTCTGGGGTCCGTGGCCATGTCCAGGGCCAGCTTCTTCTCGTTGTTGCGGACGTCTGTTAGCGCACCTAGCGCGCACGCACACACACACACGCACACACACACGTACGCACGCGTACACACGCGTACACACACACACAAAGGCAAGAATCTCCTGTTTAGACCAGCAGGGCAGACGTCGTTAGCAAGCGCTTATTAAGGCTACACAAAGACAAAGACCCCCCCTCCCCGTGTAGCCTTAACAGACTATTGGTGCAAGTGCTGTTAGCGAGCAGCACCAATGAAGGTCGACACGGCGCACAAAGGGGTGGGTGGCCAGCACCACACCAGGTACTCATTTAGGGCTGGGTCGACCCAGGACCAGTTCAAACATATGCCACTTCTTGGTTGCGAGTGGGAAAATACATCTGGTTGCCAGGTGCGAAGCACAGTGCGCTGACCATTATGCCACTATATGTACACGTACGTACATACATCAAAATGAAAAATACAAGTTCAGCTATGTACACACACATCAATCCATGTAAGTAATTACTTAACCAGGTGAGAGCCTTTTTGGATGTATTATCGTTTCCAAAACATAATTATGTATTAATTGTGTTTTTGTCAAATTAGGAATTTGGGCTATGACAGCCACATAACGCACTCCATGTGAGGAAGACATC